CACAGTCATGATCAAGTACATAAATATCATAGTGGAGAAACAAATAAACTTGACTTTGTTTAGATTCTACTTAAAGTGTCTCAACTCCTGTGTTTAGATCTTATCACTGATAAGGATAAGTTTAATAGTGTCCAAGTTTATGATGCATTATAAGCTATATGTCTGTTCCCCTTATGTCATGAAATTAACTAATCTAATAAAAGTCCTAGGTACATGTACATTTATATACCAATTGAAAAATCAATCGAACCAGCAAATTTGCAGGTAAGAAAGGCACGTTTAGAATTAGTAATGAATTAAACCACCACCAACCTTGTTAGATCAGCACTACCTCGTGTGGTTCTAGTTACTATATTAGTAAATCCGATGCCGTACTCGTGCAGTTTGAAGTCATCCATACACGTCATTGGCTCTGGAATCAATCCAGATAAGTAAAGACATTTCCCTGTAAGATGAAAAGACATTGTTAAGCTTGATTTGGAATTTATTTAATCTTGATTTGGAGTTCATTTAATCTAGATTTGTAGTTCCTTTGATTTTAATTTGTTAAAATTTACTTCATTGTGAAATTCTGCATGAACACGAGTTACAACAGTGTTTTGATGGATAAAGAAGCGTACAACTGTATACCGACCAATATCCCCATCTTTTTTGATTTGCTTCATTATGTGAGATTCTTTGGTTGATACATGTATGTCAGCTTTTAGAATCATGAATTTGTTTTTGAACATCAAAAAATACAGTTTACGTAAACAGTGAATGTTGAATTTAACAAATTACTGGTACAGATTGTTACATGATATGGTACAAGATGTTGACAGATCTTTGATCTCAATGTTTTATTGTTCAACATCAACTGTTCTAAAACTAGAAATGAACGAATGATGACAGAATACCGGTAGTGTCAATAATTCCAGTTCCCTTGTAAATTCAGTCAATTGATATCCCAATATATACAAGTTTGTATTTACGGGAAATAAATAAAGTACTGAAAAGTAAAATTGTGTCTGTCTGGTGAAAGACACTTGAAGAATAACATCTATACTCACAGAAATGATTCCCTGGTCCAGCATAGTGGTGACCTTTATATGCAGCAAACAAACCAGGATTAATACCAACCTGGAAGATTTTATTTTTATTTTATTTACAAAACTGTAAAATACTAGTAGGAACTTATTTTTGATGAAAAAAAAGTATATACACAGCAATAAAATTCAGCAAAAATACTTTTCCTTATGGTTTGCACAAGGTTTATGACAAATCAGTGAAAATGTGGAACAAATACCAGCAAGAATAAATTAATACATACAAAGTCAAAATAAGGTGGGCTTAACTTTTCTGTATTTTGCAGTTTTATGCATATTCAGTGTTTTCTCTTTACATTGAAGCAAAATGTGTTCCAGCTTAACAAAAGGTGCAGGACAAACATTTTTTTCTTTTATTTTTACAGCAATTTGGCAGAACCCCCCCCCCCCCAATTGTGAGCACCTTCTTTTGAACTGATGTG